TGTTTTCATGAGAAGCCACTTTGAAGATATCAATATGTAATACAACCACCATTGTTAATTCCCTACCACTTTGTTTGTAACTCTGTATTGTCTGATTGTGCTTGTGATATGTTGTAAAATGTTGTATGTCTGTTAATGTTTCCCTCCTTTTATCTTTAAAATAAAAAAAAAAAACACAGGCACACTGGGATTTAGATCTTCAACATATAAATGGGGACACAAACATTCTCTTCAGAATAATCTCATCCAAAATAGAAGGACATTCGTCACTTGATTTGCTACACTAAAATAGATTTAATTGTAGAAGATTCTCAGTATCTGCCTAGTTTACGGAAGGAGCTATTTAAGTAACTTTATAAATTAATGCCCAGAAATTCATGTTATTGTTATTAGAGAATGTTTTTTTTAAATGAACATATTCTGCATTGCATATAATTACTCTAGATGTTTTTGAAATATTACAGTGTTAAAAAATTTGGAGCTCTTCTATAACAACTAATTTCAAAGATATAAAAAGTTTATCAGATATAAATATCACATAGATCAACCCAGTCTCCTGGTTGAAGTATTTAAAGTGGCGGAATGTAACCATTAAAGCTGTTGTTATGATTTCCTATAAGCCAACATAGAAAAATCTCACGTCCATGCTACACATTTGTTTAGCAATGTACTTCCATGCTATTAGTGTATATAACTCAGCATCAGCTTAATTATGAATGTAAGAACTTTTCTCATGAATAGTATTCACTGTATGCCTTGTATACAAATTAAGGTATATAGTATAACTCTTCTATTATTTCCTACATTTCATGATTTAAAAAGTTATGGAAATCATTTTTAAAAGTTCACTGTGAATTTTCTAGTAAGGGATGACAAGAGTATAGCAACAGTAACAAAGAAAATATTACACAAATGAAGACTATTGTCTACCTTTATAAAGTGAAACAAAAAATTTTAAAGTTTATAGTGATTTTTATTTACCTGGCCAGGTTTTGCATTTTCACAAACAAATGTTTCATAGTACATGGCAAATTCGGGTGCATGATCATTTATATCTAGGATTCTGATGAAGACTGGAATGTGAGTGCTTTGTTTTGGGTTATCTGCAATAAGAACATGTACACAAGTTTAGTTTCAATTACACAGAAGCAAAAAAACCATTTGTCCAACTTGTAACTTAGCAAGAGATCAGTTCTCTACTATTCATTTTCTCAGATAGATTTCTGATGCATATTTCAACTTTCTTACATAGTCCAAATAGAAAGCACAATATCAAAGGGAATATTTGATTGGGAATGAAGTGTTATTTATAACAGGTAATTTTAGATTGACAGGTGATTTTTTTTCTCATACTAGAGATCAAAACCACAGTCTCATACATGCTATGCAAGAGTTCTTACTTAGCTATTCAGGCTGGCCTGGAAATTGTAATTGTCCTGTCTCAGCCTCTTGAATAGCAGGGACTACAAGTATGCACCATCAACATGGATAATTTATGATCTCTATAAAGTTAGACTATATTTCTATCCTATTGTAAGGTGTTAGAGAAAATGAATTTCAAAATGAAAGAATGATTTGATAATCATTAAAATAATTTAAATCTAACTAGTAATTTAAAATAATTTGCCAGGCATGGTGGCACACTGTGTAGTCCAGCACTCAGGGGAGTGGAGGCAGGAGGATTGCTGTGAAGTTGAGGCCAGGCTGACTTACATAGTGAGACCAGGCCAGCCTGAACTATAGAGAAAGACCCTACCTCCAAAAAAAAAAAAAAAAAAAGAATTAATTTTAATCATTTCTCTAAAACTTTACTAATAACAATTTTACTCCAGGGAAAGACGGCTCATACCATTAATTTTTCTCTGATGAAAGACAACACGACCAGTTAGATGCGTCTCACACTTACTTATTTCTGTGGCTGTAATGGTAATATTGTGCCAAGGGGATGATTCCCGGTCCAGGGGTTTCAGAGTAAAAATAGAGCCATTTTCTGAGTGTATGCTGAAAATCCGGTCCATATCAGTATGTCGATCAACAGAGTATCTGGCAGGAAATAGATTCATAAGTACAGAATCATAAGTATAGATTCATTTCAAGGTTATTAGTTCTTCTATTATTTCCTTAAAGTTATAGGCAATAGCCACCATGGTTTGACAAAGATATGAAATGTAAAATTCTAAAACAAATTCTTTGAATCTTTTTCTAGTGGAATATTTATTTAAGCATTTTCACACATTTGACCAATTCCAGTACTACCACTATGTGAGTATAACCACACTGGAGACATTACTTATACTCACGAATCCTCTTGGCAGCTTGCAAGTGAGATTTTAAAGTGTAACTTGATTCAATTATTTTATCATAGACCTTCCACAGTACTTGGTATACATTAAACAATCATGGTAAACTTAATATAGCCAATGACATTGAATAAATTAAACTCAACAGAAAAAAAACACCAGCAAAAGAAAATCTGCACACAGAGTATATATGAATATAGCAGAGGCTGTTATAAAATGCATTATTCTTGAATAACTCTGTATTTCAGGAACAGCTCAATTGAATCAAAGGTCTTCCTCTAATCTAGCTTTCTGAATTATTTCAAATAAAAATGAAACATCATATCTCTACAGAATTCTGTGACTTTCTCATCAAGGCTATATATGGAAGCTGTCACCGTAAGACTTGTACTATTATAGAGTTGGCAAAATAGCACTTCCTCTCCCAAAATGTTCCTAACCTAATCTCCAGAATATCCACCTTTCCATGGCAAAAGTAACCTTAGAAGTGTGAATAAGTTGAAAACACTTAGATGGCACAATCTCCTTGATTATTCCAATGTGTCTGATCTAATCACATGAACACTGAAAAGTAGACTGGTTTGAAGAGATGAGACAGAAGTGGAAGAGAAGATAAATTTGAAGAGTGAGAAGAGCTTGAGTCATCATTGCTGGCTTTAGAGATGGAGGAACAAGCCAAAGAATGAAGGCAGCTTCTAGACACTGAGGAGAGACCTTAAACTGCCAGCCTATGCCGAAGAGGAACTTTGTCTCCATAGCTTCCAGGAACCAAAATCCACTAAGTACCTGAATGGGTAAGAGCACAAGTTTTCTTAGGGTCCACAGGAAGAAACATGGACCTGTCCATATCTGTACCTTGCCTCTTGTTACATGAGACTCACACCCTACTTCCACCCTGTAAAACAATAAATTTATGTTTATTTAATCTCTTTATTTTATGATAATATCTGTGGCAGCTATAAAAAATTAAGCACTCTCAAAAGAAACATTTTTTAAAAACCTGCTTATATAAAAGCCCTGTAGTTATATCAATCCCTGTTATGCTGTAGTAGCTAATATACTTTTTTTATTGGACTGTTGCTTGTAGCTTGTAGATGAGTAATATAGTGTTTCTTAGACATTTACGTTCATATGAATCACATGGGAACCTTATTATCAAAAGAATTTGATGGGCTAATTTTGTATCTCAGTGGTAGAGCGCTTGATTATTGTGTGTGAGGCCTAAGTTTTAATACTCAGCACAAGAAAAGCAGCACCGGCTACAAAACAGAGAATCTGAATTTGTGGGAACACTTCTGACTGAATTGTAGGCTAGTTCTATGCTCTAGGTCCAGGGACCAGACATTACATAGAAGGTTGTGCAACTGTGATAAAGTGATTACAACAAAGACAGAAAAAGAAGGAAGATAAAAGACAGAATAATCAGTCTATGTTTTAGTTCTTGTTTTCCTGAATATTTTATTAAAAGGATAAACAGATGATCTTTTTTTCAATCTGTCTAATTAGTAAAATTCACCTCCTATTATTAACCTGTACAGCAGTCACTATCTGACACTGACTTTAGCAGACATTAATACCAGATATTTAGATTTCTAAACTTTGCAAAGTATTTGTAATTTTAAAATTTTTATATGAAATAATATTTATCCCAAATTTCTGAGGGCTTTCCTTTTTTAATTTGGGGGCTTTAATATAAAACATGTGATTTGGTCATTTATAAAAACTCTTTTGAAGTTAAAGTATCCAAAAGTAGATTCAGATATTAAAAATAATTGCAATAGTATAATATAACTCATGAAGGCTTGGCCTAATTTATTTTCTGCTAAACATTGTAGCATTATCTCACAGACATGGATAGTGCTTTAAATATTGTGTTTGGGCCAATGAAAAACACATCAAACTTGGTGAGAGGAACAAAAATTGTTGCAGAAACTCAGGTTTTCTTCTGCATCTCACTCCTAATGCATGGAAAGAGCTCAGCAACCTCCTTACCGGCAGAACTACAAAATGGTGATATTTGCTCCATTTTCAAAAATATTATTGTAATTTTCTGACATAAAGAACTTGGGAGATTAAAACAGAACTCATTTAGCATGTGATAGTTGTTCAAGTATAGCTATACTTCTGGAATGGGAAGTCTTAAGGAGATACAAGACTGGTAGAAATATGGATTTAAAAAGAAGCATATAAAATGCATAGTGAAATACATATTTTTTGGAAGTAAGAATCATATTAGACTTATCCAGTTAGTCACATAATTATATGTAATGTATCTGATTTTCAAAGTAATCATTAATATATTAAAATTAAATCAGATAGACTTTTCTCATTTTAATTTTTGTTGCATAACTCTTCTAAAATCAACTGAAATATCATGTTTTCTATTCACAGACTTCAAGCCTTTGACAATTTGTTTACCAATATGGTTTTATTCACATTTGGGACTAAATCTCTGTGTGTTATTTGAGAGAAAAGCAAAGAAAGTTGTAGTAAAATTAAAATTCTTTTACTGTGCTTTCCATTAAATACATCAATTTCTGTTTATTAATAACAAACCTAAAATAAACACAAGCAAAGTAAAAGCTCATAACTGCATCACTGTGGAGAAGGGAACTTGATTCACAGTATTCATCTGTATCTCCATTGTTGGAAAGGTCAACAGTTAACCATTTTCGGCTTATGTTTGAATAGCTCTTGGATTTCTCCTACTGTTTCCATGGAAAATCAAAAATCAAAGCAAAATTTCCTTGTGTTCCCATTGCTACTTGCCCTAGGAGTTAGCATGAGATTGTGTGATAAAGGAATAAAAAGCCACTCTAACACTGTGAAAGTGAAGCTCTGACTCACTTATACTTCATGTAAGATCAAACTGAACTGAGTTTCTGGCTGTCTTACTCTTAGGTTAAACTTTGAAAGTCATTATTTTTCAAGCTAGGAATTCATGAAAGAGTATCAATTTGATATTTTAGAAATTATCTGCTTTTTGTCTTTAACATTGTAAGCTCAAGGTGTATATTTAGAAATTTTTCTCAGTACAAATAATTGCTCTCAATTTGTCAAAGCCCAGAACTAATTTCCTTGCATTTATCAGCCAAGTTCTATTTTCAGTTGAAAATAGGAATATACTGATCTAACTATTAATAATAAATGCACTGGATTACAACCAATGATCACAGAGAGCACAATAAACATTTAACATAGAACAAAATTGTCTATATGTCTGAGCTGATGGCTTACAATAACAATAATATTTTACTGATTTCCCTACAAAGAATTTTGAACAATAAGTTTAGAAAGATCATTTGCATAAATTTTTTATGAATACCTTCTGTAGGATAGTGAGCTGATCAAATGGTTGGCTAACAAAAAATGAAAAAGGACACAGAACAAAGTTTGTGGAAACTGAGCTCCTATTTTCCTTTTCTGTTTGCTTTTAATTTTAATATTCTATCATTAAAAATCAAACACAGATTCCTGTATTATGTACTACAAAAAGTTGACTGAATTACAGGCACTGGAACAAATCAATATTATGCAATAACAGGCAATGGTAGTATGCCATTCCTTTACTGGATTCTAGGTCCCTGTTACACTAATTTGTTAAGGTCAGAATATGGATTTGATTTTTTTCTTTATAATTTTTTTCTTTCCATAAACATGTTTTCCATAGCCGTGAACTATAAAAACTCCATTCCACTTTGAAAAGTAAATGTTAATATACATTATAATTATCGTTTCCCATGAAGTATGCTTCTACAATTTTTCTTGCAGGAAAAATAATCTTATTATAAGATTATTATTATTTTACTACCTGCAGCACTAAGAAAATAGGAAAGAATCCTTTTGATATAAGAATGTACTTAGAGTCATTTGTTTTATGTTGGAATCACACACATTTTCTGGAAGTACAGCTAAATCTCTCACCAAAAGTTTTATTTATTTATTTAATTTTTTACTTACTTTTCAGTTTGACAGTGGAGGAAACAATTTCTTCTAAAAATCATAGGACTTTCAATATATTAAGCACAAAGTTGGTGTGAAGTGAGGTAAGATGTTCTTTCAGAAACTGCAAAGCTACAATCAGCTCTGTAATTTTTGAGAATCATGGTGACTAATGAGGTGAAGCGGACGTGACAACAGCTGCTAATTGTAGCCATAATCTCATGCTACAAGTAGCAGATGTATTTCAGAAAATGTTTAATGAACAACTTCACTGAGGTTGAGAATTAGCTGCAAAGCTTTTCTTGAGAAAATAATGCGATTCCATGATGCTGATTGTGCCCTATTGTTCCTCTGGGAATCAACCGTCCTTCCAAACTGGATCAGAGCCAGGAAGAGTCCTATTACTATGCTCCATCCTCATTGAATTCTTGCTGGCTTTTCTTCACACTGTAATTAGAGTTCTAAATCTTGTTTTTCATAAATTACATGCTAACAGAAACCAGCCAATATTCTATGCTTTCAGGTGAAGCTGTTAATATTGGCAAGATTGGTAATTTAATGAAGATAATTTGACAATGGATTTGTTCTCTTCATATTTTTCTTCTCATCTTAATTACTGAGATTCACAGGTAAAACTGGAGTTTGCTTTTTAGTGTGTGAGAGTTGAGTGCTCTATTGAAAGTGAATAGTTCTGGGAGAACTATGAAATTAAAAATGCATAAATCAGTTCTATATGCTGTAAAGTAGGGATGCAAATTTTACTATTAGTCTCTGATCCAGAAATTTTCTTTTGAAATTATA